ACCCGCTCGTGTTCAGCTTTGAGATCCGCCTCACATCTCCCGAAAAGAAGCCGGTTCCTCTCCCCTCCCCTGGCTTCATTAAGCTCTCTCTGCTGCGGGGGCCGCGTGCGCCGCAGGGGCATCGCCTGGATGTCCTTCACGATGAAGGTCTCGCAGCTCCCAGGCTGAGGAAGCAGAGGCTCACGGGTCACAGTTGCCTGGTTCTCACTTGCCTTCACGCGGCTTCGCTCCAGTGATACTGCGAAGAGGGGCTCTTGTACACCATCTACCCCATGGGCACTTGGAGCTTGGCCACTGTCACCACCGTGGACACGGGCCTGGATGCTTTCAACTATTCACCACGCAAAATGCCTTGCCCACAGGTGGGTGATCTCACTGCTATGGTGTCTCCCCTGAGCATTTTCGGGATAGAGTTGGTATGAAAATGACAGCGCTAACTGTAATATCACCAGGCGGGGAGTGTTGTTGGATTTATTGTCCATAATCGCGTCCCTCTGTCTTAACAACATATAAGAACATCAGAATTGCCATTGATCTGCTCAGACCCCTAGGTCCTTTTTGCCCCGTCTCCTTTGTCACACACCAGCAGAGAGCGGAGGCTGGAAGGGAGAGGGACTGGGTGTGAGCAGGGTTTTTCCCTGTTCCTCTCTCCCTTGCAGCCTGCACTGAAGGTCTAGGAAGCTCTGATGCAGAGGCCGTGCCCCTGACTCCCTGCTCAATAGTGACTGATGCCCCTGTTCTCCAAGCATCTGTCCAACCCTTTGTGAATCTGGCTGACCTCTCAGCTTCCACCTCATCTGGTGGCCACAAGTCCCACTCTTTAACAACATGCTGGGGGGAAAAGATCTTTTCAGACAGTGCCCCAAGTGCTCTCTGTTGGCATGAGAAGGCATCTCTTGTTCCAAGAGAAATCCTTCTGTCTCCTGACCGTACGGTCAGGTCCCCCTTCCCAGATCAGCTCTGCAGCCTTGAGCATGGTCTCCAACCTGTCCCCGGTCTTTGCCGTATCACGGAGTTGATGACAACGCTCCGACCCAGCCAGCTTGTCCCATCACGGAGAGCTCTTACATGCACCAATCGCCTGGTGAGGGCAACTTGTGCGTCACTGTCTTGGTGGATGATCAGAACGATTCCCCGTGTCAGCACTGCTTGAGGAGGAGACTGTCAGAGCCCCCAAAGCACTACGGCAGTGGTCCTCGACCTCTGCAGACTCCAGGGTCCGTCCCCCCACCAGCTCTTTGCTTTCACTTGTTTCCTGACTATGGAAAATGAACAAGAAAAAATCTTCCTTTGCACAGAACTCAAAGCCTGTTTGTGTCACTGGATTCTGGGTTTATCTCTGAGTTTATCTTATGAATCATGTGCAGGTGTTGGCACACCTACCGGTGCTATCATTGCACAGCACCCTGCGACATCCTTAAAAGGATCTCCTGCCTCCCTGGGGTGCCCAGTGAGAATCACCACACTCAGGCAACCTGCCTGCCCTTTGGGTCTCTGCAAAGCTTCTCTCCAAAGGCAAGTGCTTGTTTCGGCTCCAGTAGGTGAGGCCTGAGCAGGAGGGGCAGAAGGACCTATATTCTCTCTCTGCAGCCACTGCAAACATCACGGGGCCACATCGGCAATCAATAACTTCCTGGATGACTGCTGGCTTCTACTGAGACTTCCCTCTCCACGGGGGGCGGATAATTGGTTTATTTACACTAGAGTCAGCGAGTGGTAGGCAGCTTCCAGACACTCTGAAAGGGTGAGAGTCTTTGCACCAGGGAGCTCCACGTCTAAACCCAGACACAGGAGGCAGGGGCTGGGAAGGGGAAAAACAAAGAAGGGTGTTTTATGCAGCCAGCCTGATTTGCCATTGACAGCACGGCAGGAAGGAGCCTTGAAAGGGGTCTTACATGGATCAGGGATGTTATACCATTAAAAGGAGCTGAACTAGTTAATTGTGCGGCACTTTGCCAATAGAAGATGCTGAATATTATACTGCGATGAGGCTGGTTTCCATCCACATGGTCTGTGGAGGAAAAAAAAGTCTTAAAATTGACTTGGACACAGAGCTCTTAATCTGACGGGAAGAGAGTTACTCTCAGTTGGGTCGGGAGTGGAATCACTGATGCCTTCGGGATAAAGCTGGGGTGCCTGCATTGTCACATAAGAGCTGCCATTGACTGGGTCATTCCATCGGTCTGTCTTGCCCAGTCTGTGTCACACGGTGGCAGAGAGCGGAGGCTGGGAGGGAGAGTGGCCTGGGTCTGAGCAGGGCTTTTTTCCCCCTGTTCCTCTCCCCTTTGCAGCCTCCAGCATTTAAGTCCTGATTCAGAGGCTGTGCCCTTTGCTCCCTGCTCAATAGCAACTAATGCCCCTTTCCTCCAAACATGTGTCCAATCCCGTTCTCAATCTGGCTGACCTCTCAGCTACATCTGGTGGCCACGAGCCCTACCCTTTAATGCCACAGCGGATGGAAAATAACTTCCTCGCGTTACTTTTAAACTGACTGCCTGCTCGTTTCATGTGGCGCCCCCTCATTCTTGTCTGGCGAGAGACAGTCAGTAATAAATCCCTATTGACTTTCTCTTCACCATTTAGTATGTTGTAAATGCTTCTCCTGTCCCCGCTCAAGCGTCTCTTCTACACTGAAGTGGCCTGCCGTCTGGAGGCTCTCCTCGTACGGAAGCACCTCCGTAGCGCTCATCATCCTGGCAGCGAGGGGACCAGAGCTGGGCACAGTATTCAGAGCGGCACATCACACCGCGCCAGGACGCAAGCTTCACCTCGGGGCACCGCAAAGACGCGCCGAGTGTCACGATGCTGCAGCAGCTCTGAGAGCCGACTCCTCAGCCCTCGCGGAGGCTGTTTCCTCGAATGCCAGCCGTGTTGCTTTCTCTTCCGAGGCGTGCAGAGCGTTTTCTCGGGG